TCGGCTCTCTTTTTCATGCTTGAGTTGGCTCCTGTTTAGAGTGTGATGTTGTTTGGAGTGTGATGCTTGGATGTACCGGCTACTTGAAACTTTAATTCGAGGAGGAGCTCGGTGAACGCACACATGAGGGGGAGATTGTTGAGAAAAATGCATGTGTGTATTGTCCCATATGGAAAGTGGATGAGAATGTGAAGTGGTTTATATACATAGACGGACCCAAGACCTAATAGGTTAACTTTTTGGGTCAAGTTGGGCTCCTGAAGTGTGTTGAGAAAGTTTGGCATGTGGTGTCTCCCTAACAGTTTTTAACAAAAATTCAAATAAAAAGACCATATGACTGTATTACTATATTTTTTTTCCTATCAATTCTTAATAGAAATTACAAAATAATGGGTTAAGTGGGAATAAGTAAAGTTCAAGGGAGTAAATTGAGAGTTTTTAAAGTTTAGGAATAAATTGAGAATGACTCTAAAGCTCAGGGGAACCAATGATAATAATCCTTAAAAATAAAAGAAAGGAAGGAAAGAAAGAAATAAAGAAAGAAAGAAAAAAAGGCGAAAGAGGGACGCATGCAACAAAACCCGTCTATGAAAATGGATTCGCTCTTAATATCAAAAGGTATAGACATGGTCGTAAATATTGCCGATATTTCTGAAATTTCGGTATTTTATAGGTTATGGTATTTTTTTGACTACAATATTGATTACGGTGAAATATCCGGAAAATATCAAATATATATATATATATATATATATCGATATAAATATCATTAACGGTAAGCATATAGTATAATTTAGTCAGAATAAAAGAAAATTTTAGAGAAATTTCAGAAATTATCCAAATTGAAAATATCTGCTGTAAAGTATTTGTGGTTTTTTTTTCTTAACTTTACTTGTTGAATCATATGATTAACATGATTACAAACTTTATTGAAGGGCAGAAGTATCTTTCATTTTTTTTTAGAGAAAGCAAACGTTGAACACTGGAGTAAAAAACTATTCATGTTTTTAGAAATTATGATGGATACAAAATTTTCAATTGTCATAATTCTAACGTACCAGTACGGCACTACCATCATCTCATAGTTCACCGTTTTTCATTTATAGAAATATTGTGGAAATTTTCATTTATAGAAATATCAGCTGTAAAGTTTTTTTTTTTTTTTTTGTTTTGTTTTTTGTTTTTTTGTTTTTTTATAAATTTTACTTTACTTGTTGAATCATATGATTAACATGATTACAAACAATATTGAAGGGCAGAAGTATCTTTCAATTTTCTTAGAGAAAGCAAACAGCACTGAAGTAAAAAACTATTCATGTTTTTAGAAATTATGATGGATATTAAGAGGATGTTTGGTACCTAGATTCGTTTTCTGATTCGAATTATGGTTCGTAGTTCGCTACAGTATTTTCTCTCATAAAAAATATACGTAAATCGAAAATAGTTCTAATCACATGGTTTTAATTTATGAACCAAACGTCTTCTAAATTTTTAATTATCATAATTCTAACATACTACCACTATCATCTCAGGTAAAAAAGATTGAAAGAGTTCACAATTTTTCGTTTATAGAAATATTGTGGAAATGAATCAACAAATCTATACATGTGACATGTTAAGCATAATCAAATAACATGTCAGGACACTAAATATTGTTTGAATCAAGATGAGATTAAGACCACATTTGAGTCTCATACAACTGCCTTTTGATACTGAAAAAACTAATATGTATGATATATTTTTTTTTATGTAGAACTTGTTTTTATGTCTATTTTTAATGTTTATGCTACTATAAAGTATTAAAAATATGTTTTGATGTGAAAATATGTAATTTTTGTTGTTTTTTTATATTTCTAACGATATCAATATTTTTTCAAATTTTTTTTTAAATCTAAAGTACTAATATTTTATATCATACTGATATTTTCATCCTTAATAATAATATTACATGCAAATAGTAGCCAGCTTATAAGGCTATTAAATTCAAGGTTCAAGAGATGGACACGTAACCTATTTGGCTAGCTGAGGAGTAGTTCAAAGCTTCCCTGCGTGTTCGAAATAATATTTAGATACGTAGTTAAAATTTTAATATAAATAGAAAATAAGATTTTAATTAATATTTAATAAATATAAAAAATAAAGAGAATTGATATTTTTTATTATTTAAAAATAATTTAAACAGTTAAATTTTAAAAAAGAATTAAATTTTAAATTAGATAATTTAATTAAGTTTAAATTAAAAATATAATTTAAATTACGTATTTATTAAATATAATTTTAAATTATATTAACTGTTTAAATTGAATTAAATTAGTAAAATAAATAGAATTAAATATTGCCTTAATTTATGCTCATCATTGGGAACGTGAAGGAGGGAACGAATATAATTTTCTTTTTTTTTTTTAACATCATAAAGCTTCAGCTGCTTCTGACGAGAAAATTAACCAAGTTGTACAATGTACACAGTACACACGTGTTGTTTGGCAGAATTATTATTCTTTCAAAGTTTCAACATCAACAGCGTGTCGAATTTACACAGGTTTATTCCGCTCAAAGCGTTTCAGACCACCGGTTTTGTGGCTCAGTTCAAGTCTCCAAATTCCTATGGGATATGCTTTTCCACCTTTTGCAATAAGGTTGGTTCATTTTATTGATTTAAATTTTAAATTTTTAGAGTTAAATATTTTTAAAAATTATTGTAATTAATTTTTTTTATTATAATTAAAAGTTTTTTTTTTAAAAATTATCACATTTTAATTTAAATTAGTAAAGTCAACAAAAAATGTATTCAATTATTTTTTATTGGTGAAATAGCGGACCCCACTACTTTCTCCTAAAGATCCGCTGATTTTGTTGGATTAGGATTCATATTTCAGAAAGAGAAGAGGAGGGATGATACAGATAATCAATATTGTCCAGCTAGCCATCTAGCTATATCTAGCTGCAATATTGTATGGCTTTATTATAAGTCCAGGTGCATGTACATGCATGCAATGATTGTCGCATGTATAAGGCTTTTGCACTCGGTAGTAAAATAAAAAATAAAAAATCAAATATTCTTTGATAGGCATCTTATTAATTTTTTATTGTTAAATTTTAGAATAAAATAATATGTATAATAAATAATTTTTAATATAAATTTAACAATTAAAGAGTAAAATATTACCAATAATTTATTTATTTTTTGGTCCTATAAGAGAAACTCTTAAAAAAATAAATAAGAGCTATGAGCATTAAAATAATAATTACATTTCTTCAGCAAAATATAAAAATACATACTCTAGTTTATATAAACTTAAAGATTCTATCATTACTGCCGGAGTAAGAAAATAGGGACATGAAGTATATATACCTTTGCCTTTTAACTAAAATAATTAACAATGCTAATAGAATCTAATTTACTTTTTGGATTTTATAGTTCATAAAATTTTGAATTTATGCAATCTTTGGTTTATTAGTTTTTTTAAATATGAAAAGTAAATTTAAAAGTAAAATCTAGAGTATAACAGAAACTTCTCTAAAACTTTCAATATAAACCGTGCAAATTGAAAAATTTAGGGGATAAAGTAAGAAAAAAAATTTCAAAATTTTTTGTTGTTGAGCCGGTAAAGGAGCGTACTTGGAGTGGTGCCCGATAGGACTCTATCACTGTCTCTCACAAAACTTTTATGAAGAAGCTACATTTTGTAGATTTAAACCCAATATTACAGAAAACAATTTTTTGTCCTACAAATTTTAAAGCAACTTTAAAAAGCAAGGCCAACCATGCCATATAATAAAAGGAATCACATGCATAAAGTTGTGATGAAGTAACTAAGGGGACGTTTGGTTAGAGGATTTAAACCATGATTTGAATCATGGTTCATGGTTCACTACAGTGTTTTCTCTCACAAAAAATACACGTAAATAAAAAATAGTTCTAATCACATGATTCTAATGATTCATGAACTAAACGTCTCCTAATTATCAGACAAATCAACAAACAAATAAATAAAGGTTAAGTTGAAGTTCTCCAAGGAAAGCTTGTTATGTAAGATCGGTTTCATCGCACAAGAAGATGCAATGTGTAGACGTGTGGTACCATGGATTTGGCCTCTAGAGAAGCAATTTGCTGGGCATGCATCACAAGTCGATGTTGTGCGACATGCAATTAATTGCCACAACAATTTGAAATATATACCTTCGACGCAATTTGGCCATACATAATCAAAGGAAAAAAAAAAAAAAACAACATTAAAGGAACAAAATCTAAGTTTGAATATGATCAATAGTACTAGAATATATAGTGGTCAAGACAGTAAAGGAACAAAATCTAAGTTTGAGGCGAGCCTAGTTGATTAAACGACGAATTATGACGGCTGGAAATCCATATAGTGTCTTGTATATATGTTCAACTTCACTGGAAATAAATGAATAGTCATAACATTATATTCTAGAAAAAAAAATATTATTCTAGAAATGTTTTGAGTTGCCATTTGTGGGTTGCGACGAATATAAAGCTAACGTAGCCGGCGGGAATCTTAAATTATGCTTTGTCACGCCATTTAAAAGCAAACACAAATAATTTCACAATGATCATCCCTTGTCATTGTCGTTCAATTATATAAACTAGAAAGTATCCTTCCCCAGTTGATAAATATTGATAAGATATTGTTTTCGTTTTTAATGTTTAGAAAGCATATTCATGCCGAGAAGCACCATAAAAAGCCTAATTCCCATTTGCGCAGAGATATGATTTTTGAAGTGGGAAAAAAAGTTATATTCTTCATTCCCATCAAGACAAACCCCAATACGTGTTGGATTCTTGACGAAGGGCACATATAAAAAATGATGACACATATCTTAAAAAGCTTTCTTTTGCCTATAGGGATCTCATAGGACAAACTCTACCAAATTAACTCACGTCCTTAGTGGGTTCTCTTGACATCTTTCGAATAAACAACACGTTTAATTAGAAAGATTACCAGACATATCCTTTCCATAAATAGATGACAGTTTATCGAATCTTTGAGCTTCTAAGCCAAGCTCGTAATAAAATTATTGTCTATTTGTTTTGCCTATAAAATCCCCTCATAGCCTCATAACCCCATTGCACCAAGAAATCATACATTATATATGTATAGTTCTTAAACCCTTTTAATTTCCTCTCTCTTTTTTTGCTTCCCCGTTTTTGGTTTTAACTAACAATGTCAAGGATCTTGGAGCCAGCTCTGAGTGTAGGAAGAGTAGTGGGAGATGTGGTAGACAATTTCACCACAAGTGTAAGAATGAATGTCGTTTACAACTCCAACAAGCAAGTTGCTAATGGCCATGAGATCATGCCATATGTCGTTATTTCGAAACCTCGGGTTGAGATTGGTGGGGACGACATGAGGGCAGCTTATACATTAGTAAGTTAATCAACTCACCATATGATCTATATCTAAGTACTTCATTGCCATTAGTAAGTTAATACTAATTTATATATCACTATCACATTTGCTATAGTGCTGTTCTTTGTTTAATTTTGCTTCAAAGTTTTGAAGATTGTGACGTACATTCTATGGGAGTGCCATTAATTTATTTTTATTTTTATTTCAATTATTGAAGATTATGACAGACCCGGATGCTCCAAGCCCTAGCAATCCGTACTTAAGAGAACATCTCCATTGGTTAGTATTTCGAATAACCAACTTCTATTTCTTATAGTCATGTTATATATGCACATTCTTTAAAGTAGTATTTAGCTCTAATTAAGTAAGGCATAATTAAGTAACAATTTCAACATTAATCTATCTTTCAGGATGGTCACAGACATTCCTGGAACAACTGATGCCTCATTTGGTAGGTGTTCTCATCTTTAACACGTAGATTATATGTATAATTACATTTTCTCCTTATTATTCTTCTTCTCTATGTTACCTAAATAATAATTATCTAAATAACAGGAAGAGAAATTCTGAGTTATGAAACTCCGAAGCCGGTGGTGGGCATCCACAGATACGTGTTCATCTTGTTCAAGCAGAGAGGAAGACAAACCGTGAGATCTCCAGATTCCAGAGACTATTTCAACACAAGGACATTTTCACAAGACAACAATCTCGGCCTTCCCGTCGCCGCCGTCTACTTCAATGCTCAGAGAGAAACTGCTGCGAGAAGAAGATGATATGATCATCATAATTAATTCAAGTTCAAGAAGGGAAAAAAAAAATTTAGTTATAACTAACTAAAAACTACGATCATTATCATCTACAACAAACGACAAAAATGGGGTTCTTCTTTTTTATCTTTTGTTTGTTTGTTTGTGTCGGTGAAGATTAGTCTTCACTTTGATGTGTGAGTAAAGTCCTAAATTTCTTGTACTGTGTTGCTAGTACGGACCTTTTTCTTGGTTTAATGGTATTGGCATTAGTTAAGTAGGGCAAGTGTTTTTGTTCTTCTTGCTAGGTTTCGGAAGACAATATTGAATGTGGGTCCTACCACTTTGCATGCTTCGTTGAAGATGCGGTGACATGATTCGTAGCTCGTTATAATATTTTTTCTCATAAAAAATATACATAAATTAAAAATAATTTTAAATTTATGAACTAAACGTCTAATTAATTATCGGTCGTGACTGGACTCTAGTACATATAGCATCACGAGACTAGAGAGAGCTATATATACTATGTGTCATTTCTTCGAGTCTTCGACTAAGTGGCATGCTATTGGCTTGCAAAAATTTATCTGAAAGTGTGGTACATTGCCAGCTCTGCTGGTTTCATGGTGGATTATTATGTCTCTCTTTTTAATAATTAATATAGTTATAATCATTGGAATTGTTTTCACCAACACTCGGATCAGTCACGTGTGCGCAACTTTTTTGTTCGTAATATTCATGTAACATTAAGTGTTATACCTAAAAAAAGTTAAGGGGTTGTTCTTTTATTATGAAACTCAGGAAAAATTTAAATTCGAGTTACAATTTTATTCAAGTTCATGTTTTTTTGTAAAATTTGAGTTTAAACTCGAGTTTGGGACTAAACTCGAGTTCAAATTTAACCTTCAACTCGAGTTCATAAACTCGAACTCAAATTATTGAACAATATTTTTTTTATTCTTAAAAGTGTCATAACTTTTTCATATTTATTCTGATTGAGATGATTTTTTTTTCTATGCATTCACAATGAAAGACGAATAAAACTCCACCATATACTTTATTAAAATTTTGCATCACCATCGAGTTTTTATTAAAATACTATATAAATATAAATTTAAGTTTTAACCTACTCAAATACAAACTCAAAAAGATTCTCAATTTAAATCATAACACACGTGTGCACATCTAAACACAAACTCAAGTTATAATTTCAACTCAAATTATAACTTAAACTCAATTCAAAATCATCACTGAAATCACCCAAACTCAAAAATGCAAAAAAAAAAAAAAACAACCCTTAAATGTTATACAGACGTATGAATGATATTATATGGGGATAAAAAAAATCTTATTCGTTGAGCTGTATAAAGCTAGATTTAAAACTCTGCCTATAATTGTTTGTCATTCCTCGGTGAAAAAGAAGACCAAACAAAAGACGAAAAGAAAATTTGAGTGATAGAGGTCAGAAGAAAGTAAAAGCTTATCCATCGCCGGTTCCCAATATTTATTTTGACTTTGTTTAGATTACTTGAAAACAATTTTATGACCCGTTTAATTCGCTGATTCGAGTTTTTAATTTGAGTTGAGACGTGACTTTATATGAGAGCTTTTTACTATAATAAAAAAGTTAGATGTGACTGTTTTTTAGAGCTTTTTACTATAACAAAACTCAAATTCTAAACTCAAATCGGTGAAATGAACGGAGCCTTAAATCTAAAAAGCTGCTATTTAGCCCGAGTCGTAAAGACTCACGACCCAAATGGAAAAAAGAAAAAAAAGACGCCATGTGGTCAATACTTCAGCTCATTTTATGTACTATAGTTTATTTTTATGGGTGTATTTAGAATTAATTTTAAAATGATTTTATTTTTATTAAAAAGTAAAAATAAGATTGTTTTGAGAATTATTTTGTAACCGATTTTAAAATTATGTTTGATTAATATTTTAAGAGATTATTTTGAGTATAATAAAAAAATAAAATTATATTTATTAATTAATATATTATAATATTATTAATAAACACTAAAATATGAAAATAATAATAACAACTTTTAACTATTTTTTAATTTTTTATAAAAAATATTATCACTATTTTTATTTTTATTTTTAAAATATTTATTAAATAAAAGTCGTTTCGTTTTTACTTTTTTAAAAGTACGTAAAAACTGTTTTTGAAAACGGTTTCCGCCCACCATATTTCTTCATACCGTTTCCCCAAAAACTTTTTTGTGAACCCCACCATGACTTTTGGGTTTATCTCTGTTTCCATCTTCTCTGCACAACTTGTTCTTCACGGGTAAAAAAAAAAAAAAAGAGAGATCTCCGTTTGGTATTCAGGATGTGTTTGACAAATCTATGGCCTATGGGCATAGTTCAACAATATGGGTTTTGCAAGCTTAAAAGCTCCACAACTTTGCCAATGAAGAAGAGAAGCAAAGAGCCCTAATCACTCCTTTTCCGAATTCGACGTCGCCAATGACGGTCTTTTGGAAGTTGCCCATGAAAAATCGCAGACTTTGAGCCCACTAGCATCTGCTGATGCACCAACTTCCGATTTCCGGCTGTCGCTCGGTGATCCTTCGGCTTGGCCTTCCTTCGAAACTTCGTATTAATTTGAAAGACTAGTTTTTTTTTTTTTGGGATCCCAAAAAAGTTATCAGTATATGAACCTCAACTAAAGACTCCATCAGCAAGGATGGTGATAAAGGGGTTGTTATTTTAGAGTGTAATTTGAGTGTAGTTTTTGAGTTATAACTTAAATTGAAGTTGTAACTTGAATAAAGTTAAAATTTAAAAGAATGTGAACTTGAATAAAATTAGAACTCGAGTTGTCTTTTTTTGAGTTTTTTGGACAAAAGAACATGCCCGAAATTTTCCACTATGAACTTTAGTCCACGTGAACTTTAGTGGACGTTTGGTTCACGTATTCAGAATGATTATCAGTTTACATGTATTTTTAATAAGAAAAAATATTATAATAAACTGCAAATTATAATTTGAATTATAACACGAATCCTCATATTAAACACTCTCTTAGAATTTAGATGATTAGATTGAAATCACAAATCTATTAATAAATTTTCACTTTTGTTTTTCTTTCTATGGTAGATCACGGAGCTAAACACAGAAGGAAGAATAAGGCCCCATTCACTTCACCGATTCGAGTTTAGAATTTGAGTTTTGCTACAGTAAAAAGTTCTCAGAAACAGTCACATCTAACCTTTTTTCTACAGTAAAAAGCTCTCACATAAAATCACATCTAAACTCGAATTACAAACTCGAATCAGTGAAGTGAACAGAAATGATGGAGAGTAAAAGTCCTTTTAGTTAGTTTCTTTCTTTTTTTTTTATGAAACCAAATATAGAAAAAAATCTTCTCCGCCACGTAATATGGTGGTCAGTTTTTTATTTATTAAATTTATATAAAATTATGTAAAAATAAAAAAAATATGTAAATTTAACTCTTAAAAAACTCAAATTTATTAATATATTAAGAGTGCATTTAATTAGTGTATTCGTATTATGATTTGAATCATAATTTATAATTTATTATAATATTTTTTTATAAAAAATACACGTAAAGTAAAAAAAATTTTAAAATAAAAAATAAAAAATAAAATTAGGGGGCCCCTTTTAGTGAGTGCCACGCAAGGTCGTGAGTCTACGAGTAGGGACAAAAAGTGTTTTCCTTAAATCAGGGGATAATTATGTTAGATTTCACGCAGTAATTGGTCTACTTTATCTAGTTTTATGTAAACGTACAACAGAAAAGTCAAAACTACCAGTGCAAGTACTCCATTTTGTAAAGGCCTTGGGTCCCACACATATCCGTTACTTAAGTTAGAAGACTATTTTCGCATCGAGATTGGATTAGATAATCACCTCAACTTATAAAAAACAAGAAGCAGAAAAAAATAAATTAAGGTGGAGTAGAGTGAAAAGAGCAAAGAAATTCCCATAAAAAAAAAAAGCGCAAATAAGTAGTGTAGAAAGCACGTTTTCTAATATTCAAAATTCAAATGTACGAATCATGAATATCATATACCAGCTGGTAATTTTCTTTTGCTGCAAGATTTCTAGCGCTTCCCAAGAATTGATGAAATCCAATGTGACCAGCTATTTTGTAGCCAATATATTATATACCTTAATATAATAATAATAACATGTTATCCCTTTGAAAAAAATAATAAAAGTAGTAGTAATAATAAAAGAGATTCTCTGACGTATCAATAAATTATGTTTTTTTAATTATTAAATTTGTGTATTTTTTAATTTTTAAGTGATTTTGTATAGATTCGATAGACAAAAAATTTAATTTATTGGTATGTTGACGTACCGAAAAAAATTCATAATAATAATAAGAAACATTCTCCGATACGTTAACATACCGGTAAGTGAAGTTTTTTATCTGTTAGGTCTTCATAAAATCACATAAAAGTTAAAAAATACACAAATTTAACAATTAGAAAAACTTAACCTACTAATATACCAAACGTAGTAGAAAATCTTCCTCATAGTAATTGTTACCACAAACCAAAACCTGCTGGTTCAGTGCCAAACCGACGCCGGCGGTTAAGGTAGATTGATTGCCGTTTTAGGCTTTAGCTATTAAGAGCGTTCGGTTATTGAGCTGTACATAATTTTATTTTTCTTAAAAAAGAGCTTATATGTGTAAATCTGTAAAGTAATATGTTGTTTTGAACCTTAAAAACAGGGAAAACATTTTTATTTTATACATTTTTTTTTAAAAAAAGACATGTTTTTCTAGTTTCTCCGAAACGATCGAGACCACAACATCATGATCGGTGGCTGTTCGGCACTATTTTTTTCTCAGTCGGGTTTGGGAATTTGACTGAAAAACTGAAGGACTCAGTTGAACGATCGCAATTCGCAACCAAACTTAAAATGCGAAAATGCCCCTAGTTGAAGTACGATGTTGGAAATATATACACACATATATATATATATATAAAGTTGTAGTAATACTGTAGTTCACGGCAATGATCTTCTAATAGACACCCAATTACTTTTTATTCTAGAACTTAAGGATGGGGTTTGAACTCTACACGTAATCAAGAGGCAGAGTTAGGCACTTCAGACCAAAGCCGGCAATCGTAAAATGAACTAAGAAAGATGCATATAATTTTGTTTCCTTGTTTGTATTCAATTACAATCGAACCAAACATCCAAACACTTTTTTTACATTTCTCTCCAAATCATAAGAGCAATTCTTAAGATAGTCAATTTGCTACTTGAGCCCCCCAATGGACCATGTAGCCAGCGAAACAAAAACTGCAAGCAAACATGGATTTGTATAACTCACAGTCTTGAGACAGGAAATTAAATTACACTACCTTGAGCTGCAATTTTCGGTAGAAAAAAATTTCTCTTCCAATTGAAGCAGAAAGGGAACCACCCCTCCCCCCCGCCAAGCCAGTCAAG